TAATAATTGTTCATAATCTTCTCAGAGTCCCACTTAAAAAATCAGTTAGATGGAAGTTGCTTTGATAAATTATAGAGAATCGACAAAAACAAAAGCTCACATTTTGACATTGATAACTTGCAAATGTAGCCAACCTTATTGGCTCCATGTCAGATTTTTGTTTAAACCTCCAGAGTGTATTGCATTTTGCTGATCTATGTGGGATGATCTGTACAAAAACAAGTTGCTTTTGGGCTTTTAGATTGAAAAATCTGTTTCAGTTCTGGACAATAATGCTGCTGCTTGGATTCATGGCTGCAAGTGAAGCCATAAATTGTTTCACCAGTGTGATATTCTTAGAAACTAGAAAACAAAGACAGATTAGAAGCGTTTTCCCCCCCTAATCTTTTAGCAACATGTTGGCAAGGCTGTGCTGAGCTGTTGGGAAGCTGCTCATGTGATTTTCTACAAATCTTTTCAATAAATAGGAACAGGAAAAATGTGAAAAAGTTCTTGAAATACCAAAACGTACTAATATTTTATGCGGGGCAACGAACAGAMAATGATAACTCACTTCAACAAAATTAGGTTATATTTAGAAATTTATCAGGACATAGAAAAATAAAGGAGCTGAGTCTGACATTTAGTTTATTTTCATGGTTTTATTTCTTTTTTTGTTTTCAGATTCCTATATTGCCAAATCTTCCTCRTTGCCCGGCTATGGCAGGAATGGACTGAACAGAGTAAGTATTGGTGGTTTGTGCGATTTTGCCTTTTTTTTTTTTTTACTTGTTTTAGAGTGAGCTTTTTCCTTTTGGAGGTAAAACTCCTGTCTGTCCCACCCTTATGTTGTAGGGTTTAAGATGAAATTGAATTTCTCAGTCTCATGTTTTATTTAAACTCCTCATGTTGTGTCCCAGCAGCCCGGGAGTGCGAGCACAGATTATTACCAGTATGACAGCAGTAATGCAGTTAACTGGCAGATAAGAGGTAAGTTTGTTGTTTAATCTTCTTATCCCCATTGTTCCTAACTTACCTCTTCTCTGAGTGCATGCTGTTTTACTGACAATGAAACAGTAATGCAATTACACACAATGGTGAGTCACTGTTTTCTTGTTTTTTTTTTTTCAGAATACAAGGTAAGATACAGCAGACACATCTTGAGAACAACAGGGGAATTTGTCTCACGCACTAAAAACATTAAGAAACTATGTCAGTGGTGTGAAACTCTGTTAGAGGGCCTAAATTCAAAACTGGGTCAAACCAGGGATCAGGTGGTGTTGGTGGTGGTGGGGGGTGGGGGGGTTGCAATTGTGTGTGACTGCCCTTCCTCTGAACAAATGAAAACTGTGTAACACAGGTGTTTAGACTTAAATTAAAAATATTTGACCAAAGAAAAACTGGAGCAGGACTACAGAGAGAGATAAATATGATTTAGATTTTTATTTATGTGACTTTACGACCCACAGGAGACACGACATTAACAGAAGTCATCATTCATTCCTCGACTTTAAAGCAGATCCTTTAATTCCACAGCTGACACTGCTAAAAATGACTTTTTTTTGTGGGTCTCCGAGAGCAGAACTTCAGTTTCTGAACTAGTTCTTCTTTTTTACTTTGCTATGTCATTCATGAATGGACACTTCCTGGTATGTGGGGCAGGAAACGTAGCCTTATATGGTGTTTTTGGGGTGGTAATTATGCTAATCTCCTCTCGTGTGCACGAGCAGCTGGATACGAACAGGTGGAATTTACGCAGCTCATTTACGCACTTTTCCTGAAGATAGAAGAGTTTGTTGAATCTGACGTGACATGTACGTACGAACCCTTTGTACGAACAAAAGTAAGAGAAATTTAGGATAAGAATATGAACATGTTCTTGCATGTGGCCCATTGACTGCTGGAAATGGGCACCAGTGACCCCCGTGACCCTAGAAAAGGAATAAACGGGTATGGATGATGTATGGATGGATGGATGGATGGATGGATTATTAGCAGTCATTTCTTATGTCGTACTCGCTACCAAAAACCTTTTCTTTTATTATATCTTAGAGATTAATTTTATTCCAGAAAAATTCAAACTTTATTTTCTCAGCTTGAAATTTGTCCAGCTGTCATGAGAAAAAAGTGCACTAACTAAAAAAGAAGACTGCCTACCTTTGGGGTTGGGAAAAAGGTTAACGGGGGCCAAATTTGGCCTGCGGGCACTGACTTATTGTGCAAATGAGAGTGTGCAGTTGCTGAGCTTTGATTGGTGGAATAAAGTTCTGCTGGATGCTGATTGGCTGGTTAGGGGTTAGGGTGGCCAATTTGACATTTACTGTGTTGCAGCACAGTAAAATAAAAATCACATTTATTGATCATAAATGGAGAAGTATTTGTAATATTTCCTTGTCTCTGTTAGATTTACCCATATGAAGCCCTTGTAGTGTCAGTTAGAGGACAACAGCGTCTTCCCACTGATGTGGACAGAGCCAGACTAGAGGTACGAGAATTTATTTATAGAAATTTAGTTTTAATCTGGTTAAATATGTTATTATACTGTATTACCACATGCATGTATCATCCTCTTAATTATATGTTTGCCATAACTTCTGTGGCCACTATGTGTATTTTTATTTGAGTCATTATGCACAGTTTTGTAAAATGTCATTTCTGGTTCATTTCAAGGATCTTTTCAGATGCCGTGTGATGTGATTGTCTTTGTGTGGTCTGATCTGTCCTCTCGCAGCGTCACCTTTCACCAGAAGAGTTTTACAGAGTCTTTGGCATGTCCATGTCCACCTTTGACCGCCTCGCTCAGTGGAAAAAGAACGAACTGAAAAAACGAGTCAGACTCTTCTAGGAAAAKTCAACCGATCCGTCCAACGTCAACAGTTTTCCAGTCCTGAGAGTAACTGGTTCCCTGAAGTGTCAGAGGGGAAGTGTCCAGCCTTCTGCTCTTGGTGAAGCTGCCAACTGTGCCAGACTGGAAGTAAAGCAGAGTTCTGTACTGGAGCTGAAACTGGCGGGTGGTCCAAAGTTGMCTGTCTCTGCCTCTTATACCAACAGATGGCAGTGTCTGAGAGCCTGAGGCACATTTAGGCCAAACTGATGGTCTGCTTTACTGATATATTCATAAAAAATAAAGATTTTATTGAAGAAATTAGATGGTGAAAAGAGTGAAGAGGATCCGTTCTTACTCAGAAACTGCCCTCAAAGACTACCAAGTTAGAAGAACAAAGTCTCAATGTTAAAAATGTTTTTATAAACTTGAAACCAAAAGTTATTTTCTGCCTTTTTGTTCAAACTTTGTTATTTTATCTCAGCCTATAAAGCCATATCAGTGTTAAAACTCTTTTCTGTTTACAACATGAGCAGATTTGTGGTTTAAAATATGAGGTTGTGTATAAACTGTTGGGAAAAYGAAGTTAAAACTGAGGTTTTATGCCTCGTGTTTTCACCAAATTTCTACATACATGCTTCACTTAAGAAACAGTACATTATTTCTAATAAAGCCAACTGAATGTTTGTGGAGAATGTGTGCAATGCTGGATGTGTTTTGTGTTTTAAAGGCATCTAAAGATTAACTTTGGTGTGRATGAAGGAAGAAAGGAAATTGCACATGAAGGGTTTTATGATAGGAAATAAACTGCTCACAATGGTTGTGTTGGTTTCTGAGTGTAGTGTGTGTTTACAGACTGCAACAATAAATCACTTYCACAATATTATTCATGCATGAAATGACACATTCTTTATTATTTGTTTCTTTATCGAAATTGTTATTTTTTATCTGCAGCCTCATATTTTTAATGACTTCTATAAATGGTTGATTTAATAAATGAGTAC